TTATTTGTTAAGTATTCTTGATGGTTGATATAATTTCAATCATTAAAATAATGTTATATTAACAATGTATATTGCAGGTCAGTGCCCAGATAATATCACCATTTGTAGACATCGGAGACAGCTATGACATAATATTAGTCACTATAAGTATTCAAAAATACTTAATATTATACTCGAGTTGTCATCTCATTAACCTAAAACTGAAATATATACCTATTTTTACTTATATTTAGTCTAATTTCAACTGAGTTCACTTATTAATTATTTTTAATACTTAGTAATTTTTTTTAAAGTACCTATCAAACTGTCTCTATAAACAAATTCATACCCCTCAACTTAACTAGTTTATACATATATATATAATATATATTATAGAACATCCCATCATATCGGTAGCCAACATTTAATGATTACCTATACTTGTATAATTCACAATCCTAATAATGCATATTTATACCTATTATTATAAACATTAAAATATTAAATATTACAATCTATTTTACTCATCATTGCACATACACTTACTCACATATTATTACTGCCTATATTAATTATATGTATAATCTTGTTCATAGTAACTTAACTAAACTATTGTACATTTTAATATGGATGAATACACTTAATATGTTAATATGTGTCTAGACTTTAGTTATTTGTTAGTTGTTAGTATATAGGTAATCAATCACTATAGTCTATAATCATAAATCAATATTATCATTATAGGTTCTCTATGATTGTTTTCTTGCCACGTGAAAATTCAACACCGAATGATCGTGAACAAATTAAATATCAAAATGGAAATCAGTAAAATAAGTTATTTTTTTATTGGTTGCTGTTATAAAACAAAATATGCGTGTATAGGAAATAAAAACAATAATGGATGAAAATAAAAAACTTATATTGCAGGTAGATTATAAAATCAATAAATACATTGATCTACATGTATGTAATTTTCAATTATATATCTAAAAATAATACCTGGCTTTATGAAGTTTGATTACCATTTTTCTATAATAATCATTACACTTAATGGCTATTATAGGCGTAATATATAAACATAAAACATTTTTTACTTAAACTAACTAGTAATTACATTTTATATTAAGCAGTGTTTTTTTTATAATCACCAATAAATATACATATTAATTAAACTCTTTTAAATGGATTTTTAATCCATCATTAGCAACATTCATTACTATAGTGAATAAAAACACAATTTAAAAAACTACTGTACAAAAATACTCCAAGAATGTTGCTAAGTATAAAGTTAATAATTTATATGACAGTATGACTCATTATAATATTGTAGGGTTCCAATATTGTTACTGAATAAACTATACAGGCATACAGCTATTATTTGAAATAAAATATCTAAAAAAGAATTTATAACTTTATCAGATCACAATATTTCAATCTCAATTTTTTATTATTAAAAAGTAAAATAGTTGTGGAGAAATTAGGTTTACAAATACAAATATTGCAAAAGAAGAAGAAGAAAAAGAAAAAAAAAAGTAATTTAGGTTTCTGGTTTGGTATGTATAAATAATGCATTTAGATGATTWAGATACAAAGAAATTACTTATTTTTCCGTTTATTCTCTCTTTCACCTGTCCATTGATAATTATTGATCTGCAATAGCAATAACAGTATCTGCGATTATAAATAATTGAAAATAATCTAACTCTTCTATAAATATAATATGTATAGCTGATTTAAAATGAGCTAAGTATATATACGTGTTTTCGTTTGTGATTTTTATAATTGTACCCACTAAATTTGAAAAGTAGATTAATATATTCTGTAGTTTTAGGTGTTGAATAGTACACATGTACCTACACTAAATTATTACAGTAATACAGTCATTAAATAATTTAATTTAATTTAAATTTAAGAAATCACAATGTTAGGGTATTAGACACAATAGGTCAATAGACACAAGTACTATTTTTAAGAAAAATTATAATATACAACGTTATATTATATACTTTATGGTATAGATACTTCTGACTTCATATAAAAATGTAATGAAATAGTTTTATGATTAAGTAATTTCTAGATGTGTAAGAATGATAGAAAAACTTCAATTGTGGTATATTATACTTTCGTTTGCACAAACGATATAATTTAGAAAAAAAAATGAGTATAATGACATCACGATGTTATAATAATGAACAATAGAATCGTGTAAAATATTATACACTACATAACCAAACCTAAGTAGGCAGAAAGATAACATTTATCGCTTTCAAAACAACAATCGGTCGTACCTAAGTATAACTTAGGGAAATATTTAGAGTATTTTAGCAATAGGATTTATGGTAATCTGACACTCGTCCAAGCTTGAAGCCTAAGAGAAAGTAATTATCATAAAAAGAAAATTATTTTCGACGAAGTTGAATATATAATAATGTCGGGAATTTTTTTTGGATAAACTGAGTATTTTATTGATAAATTATAATACCACTAGAAAGACCGGTTTGTGTGGTTAATGGACGATTAACCGAATGATGGCATACATGTTTTGAGTTCAAATACATTCTTAAAAGATGACATTCATGAATGTTTGGTCAATGAACTTTAATGAAATAATAAATACAAAACTGTTAAATTGGGTAGGTATGTTAAATGTAAACATTTTAATATATTTAGAACCTTAAAAAAAATAATCCTTTTTATTGAACATTTACAATCTGCAGCATGCTTCGTGGCATTTATATAAGTAAAAGTAAGTTACTATATAATCATTATTCATTACTAACTTCATCTTTGTGATTCGATAAAAATGCATTGATTTTTAATTAGTAGAAGATGGTTTTTATTTTAAGAAAAAAGTATGGCATAATATTGTTAGATCATAGATCGTAGAAATAGTGTACAATGATGTCACTCCCGAATTAAATTGTTATTTGTCATTTGTGACGTTTAACTTTTCAATTGTCATCACTCATCATAGTAATTGATTGTTTTGTTCAATGAGTGTTTTGTTTTGGTACGTGAGTAAAATGATCATAAGAAGTGTGTAGGTATGTAAAGTTTAAAAAGACGTATTTTTATGTATTATTATATTTACGTGAGACACCATTGTACACGCTGGTAAAATGGCCGGGTATAACGGAAAATTTTTTCGACAAATTTTGAACGCGCGCGAACTCATCTTCGTAGAATATTTCCGTATGTGATTATGGACCAAACACCGAACCTGTCTAATATTATACACCTATATTTACTAGCAAACATAGATACTATATTATATTGCGTTCCGTTCGGATGCGCATGTACCGACCACCGTCATCCAGTCGAGATCGGAAACAAAGTCTATACCGCTCGCCAGTCATCATGTCTATGTACGACAGCGACCGCATACCATGACTGCAGAGCATACTACTATTATTATTTTCGTTGTTATTATTTTAACATAATTCATGATATTATTGCCAGGTGGTCTATAGGTCCCGTCACGGTCTTCGAGCGTATATGCTATATAGTTCATCATCACGGCTGTCTGATATTAGTTGGTTGTCGTCGTCGTCGTTATTGTGTTAATGAACGATGTTAAATTGTTCGTGTACACACAGACTGGGGGAGGGGATATAGAAGAAAAACAAATTAATAATTGCATCGACGGATAACATGTATCGTACCTACATAATATTGTACACATTAAATAAAATATTTACTATACGATTTGTGTGTATAAAATAAACGGGTTTCGATCGTCTTGCGCCGGTTCTAGGCTAGTAGGACTGCAGCACTATTATAGTCGTCGGATGTCGCGCGTGCCGACCGCCCGACCAGTTATTTTGCTCGCATTATTATCATCATCGTCATCGTCGTCATTATAGCCGTCGACGGCATTTTCCGTACGTCCATCTACGTATAAAATAATTATGATAATAATAATAATAACTGGGACAGACGAGCGGCGGCGGCGGCAGAGATCGGCCACTTTCCTCGCGGCGTACGAGATTCCGCGCGCGTATTACACACGATGTTTTGATAATACGATTTCCTGTTGCCGGCCGACAGTGTTCTACTCCTGTTCGCTGTGTAGCATCTGTCGTTTGGCAGCATCACCCGTACCGAAATGAGAAAATTGATGTACCTATTTATACTTTGTAATTTACTCTCGTGGTGTATACATATCGCGGAGCTGGGTCAGGCTGTGTGTATATAATGATCCAGACGTAATTTTCGGGTTCGACGGCCGAATCTTTTATTATTGCTAGCTTACGTGGGCGCTTCGTTTGCAATAAACACAATACACACACGTATACAATAATAATTCAATCCACCGCAGTCATCGTCCACTGCGAGTCTGCGAGCTTTATTGTTGTACGGATATGGCTAATGGATCTTAGTATTTTACAACGTGTAATGCGTACCCCTCAACGTCTGAAGATTAAAATTTAATAATCCGTAATGAGATTTCAATTCAATTTTGATAACGCTGAGCGTTACCTTTTATGAAATAGACTTTGTGTCGCATATTTTTTATTTATATATATCTATGAAACCGCAGTGACTACCGTCATCCGGTCATTCTGTATTTTTGTGTGCCACCGCGCAATATACGCGGTTTAAATAATAGATAATATAGAAAGTTGATCATGACCCGACAAGTATTATAATAGCAAATTAATCGTAATTTTGCTTACGAAACATTAGGCTTTTTATGCAATCTCAAATACAGATTTTTCCTCCGTTATTATCGTTGATGATAACAAATGTTTAGCAATCACCATATCCGGTGTAGTTCGAATCGGTCTTTTAATCATTTGTGTCAAGTATATGTGTCTATATAATTAATACGCTATAAAATGAACACTGTTTCAGGCAGAATAGAGTGGTCAAGGGTGCGCGATATATGTTTATACGTTGGCCGATTAGTAATATACTTATATTATATTATTGCATTATTTGGGAATCATAATGCTTAGTTGTCTCATAAGCTATTGAACTCTGTTTTTATTTCAATTTCATAAATTGTTTTAATTTTCCAGAACCAACATGCCGGGCCCGAGAAGGTTTAGTAGTGGTGGAGTTGGCGGAGGAGGCCAAGCGTGGGAAATGGGTGAACGACGATATTCTGTAGCTGGTACAGACCCTCATTTAAGCCATCATGCGGTCACGTCAATGGGACCACCAGCATCTGAAGATCTTCACGCTTGGAGTATTTACAGGTAAATGTCTCTTTAAATACATTTTATAATCATTATATTGTATATATATATGAATATTTTTTTAGGCAAAATTTAAATTCTGATTTCACGGACTCTGCTCTTGGGTCGAGTGAGAAGTCCCCCCTACCATATGGTAACTTTCAGTTGCGTGAATCTACTGTGCAATCCATACTCAGCCATCCACGATACGGTCCAAAATACGATGTACACAAATCGCCACTGAGTTCGAATATGTACACGTACCTCAAATTTGGCTTACCCAGAGTATTTCCGCCCAATAGTCGCAGGGATGGATCCAGTGGTTATGACTCGAGTGAGGATGGAGCAGCTATACGTAGCCAAAGACCCTATACGAGAACTAGAAGTGATCCGGATTTTTGCAATCACGCAATTTACCACGGCGGGGTAGGAATAATTTATTTTTCAAATCAGAAAACGATTATTAATTATGGCTTGTAAAAAAAAATGTTCAGCCTACTTTACAAAGACATCATCCGGGTCGCCGAGGTAAAAGTATAAGTGAAGCTAATTTACTGGCACCTCATGGATATCCTATTCGACAAGAGCTTCCAACGATGCAGCGGAGAAGCGTACATGACTTGCGAGCACTATCCGAAGTTAATCATCATCACCATCATTACACTAATCCAGCACATCATTATAGGTTATACTTCGATTATATGACTTAAACTGGTTTACATCAAGTAACTAAAATATACTTTATTTTTCATTATTTCTATAACAGTTCTCACCATTTAACAAGTGGTCGGCCGGCTTCCATAGCTGTTGTTGGTACAACAGCTACTACGCCTAGAGATAGAAGTATTAGTATGATGAGCAATTTAAGTCCGAATCGGTCAGATATTTACGGACAACCTGCCATTGTCTATCCATATCTTCAGGTAAATAATGATTTTTGAGAATACTAGAATTTATTTAAAAATTATATTTTTGGTACATACGTATAAAATAAATATAACAAAAACAAAAATGTTTAATTATATGTGTTCAATGATACTGATAAATTAATTATATGCCTGTTTAATAATCATTACTCAACACTTTAGTAATTGATTTTAACGTAATATTTGATTATTTCGAAGGCACAAAGTAAATATTTTACTATTTTTACTGTTATTTTAAATGCAAGTAACTGTCTGTATACGGCCAATGGTTTAATAAAGTAATTATTTTGAATGATATTTCACTTCCATGTTATATACTCTAGTGAACTGTTAACTATATATAATTTTTAAATATTTAATAAACATATTAAATCATATACTATATATATATATATATATATATTTGATGATACGGAAATATTATTTTGCCTAAAATAATCTGAAACTTGAAGATAAAATGAATAAAATATGTTTTTAAACAGTGTACAGGGTGTCCCAAAGAGATCTGACATTCTGACAAATGAAATAACTTTTGTTCTAATCAATATTTTTTTTAAACTTCTTTTAAATATAATCCATAGACACTTGCACTACATTTTTTAGAATACATTTTTTATTTTTTAATACTGAAAATAAAAAACT